AACTACCAAAATTTTTTCTCAGTGACAAAGAACAGAAGAAACATGTCAACATGTTAATGACTAACTTGTAGCAAGTTGAAGTATTGAGTGTCATAGCTTGTCAGAACTCCCACTCAGAAACAGAAGTACTCACCTCAGCAGCCTTTGTTCCAATGACTCACTGGATTCATTTTAAGCTGGTTCCACATATCCTCTTCTGAGACAAAAAAGAAAAATTTTAAAAGTCATAAAAAATATTTATAGAGTTGGCAGTAAGCCATTATTACATACTCTGTATTTCATGTTCAGCTGCATTCTAATCACTGGTGTGGTACTACAAGCTTTCAAAGAAGCCCTCTTAGTAGTACTATTCTAAAAAGATAGTCATTTGGAATGTAAGAACTACAGACATCAGTTTATTGAGTCATATATATATAAATTATTCATAAGCATCATCACAAATTGTGTAAAAAATGATCTGTATTTATCTTTTTCCAGAATTACAGGCCAAATACTAAACCTGCAAGAGGGACACTCAAACAGGTCATAGCCTTAGGGCAAATTATTGAAAAGTTTTTTTCAATGACTTTACAAAAGCTTTTAACAGCATCAAGTTACCTTACTTGTTATTATACTCTGCTTCAAATTAAATCTCTTTCTGATTCGTTCTACATCAAAACTTGTTGGCCTAGTTATGAACACTACGAAAACAGAATTAAAAACAAAATGTTTTTCCCAAAAGATATAAAATAAAATCTAGACATCAGAGCCAATCACAAACATTACCAGTGACGCAAAAGAATAAGAAAAAAATACTGTGTCATGTATCCACCTTGACTGCTTAAAAGGACCTGCTTGGCAACATTCAAAGAAGTGGACTTTGGCTTGACTGCTGCAGTTAGAACCTGAGGTAGGGGTTGGTAATAACAGACAAATGCATGAAAAATAGAATTAAAATATATTTGTTTGTGGTCTCTGTACACAGTAAAAAAAAATGAATATTAGTCCATTTTGCTAACATGAATGCTGTTCATCCCTTCATCAAAAAACACCAGGTCTCTGTTGGGGCTGTTGACTGATTAACTAAGAGAAGGAAGTGTATGGCCTTTTACTGTAAGCATATGCGACTCCAAATGCTGTTTCTTGATTGGTTGTTTTTGTCACAATCTACATTTTCAATACTTTTCTTTTCTGGGGTGAATCAAATCCAAATTTGAAGAGTGTCTCCTGACAGTTTTCATTTGGCTACATTCTTTACTATATCATAACAGAGTTATTTACAAGTTGTGAATTTAGGAAGAGGGGAAAAATGTATTTTTATTTAGCTATCTTTGAATATGTAACTTTTTATTTATTATTTTGCTTGTATCTAAGATTTTATGATTTTGTTCTGTATTCAATACAAATTAAATTGTTGGTTTGTTTCTAAATGCCATTTGAATATTAAAATTTTGGAAAACTGGCTATTTCTAAATTGATAAAAAAATGTCAAATTCAACTATTCATTGGTTAATTGCATTTTAGTCTCTCATTGGTCAGAAAAGATTAATGTTGAAACTCAAATTTCTTTGTGCTGCAAATATAGTTGTAGGGATACATAAGGCGATTATCTCCCTTTTGTGGAGATAAGTCACATGGTTCACATGATGGACTACTTAGTGATGTCACTTCCTACAGTAACAAATGTGGCAGTTTAATTCAGTAGTTTACAGAGCCAAACTGAAAGGTTGATCTCTTTAGCCTGGGCATCCTATGGCTCAGACAGAGCTTAAATCTGCCTCTCTAGCAGCTTACAAGTCCATGATGCCATTTCCCTTTGGGAATATATATTTCCCAGATAAAGAAAGAAACTCTAGCTTGCAGCCCTCAATTTGAGAAAACCCAAGATTCACTATTTCCCATTTGTGGAATATGTTCTTGCATGGGACATAGATGAATCTATCCCATTTGAATCTGGAGTCCTAAATATGGTTTCTCCAGACACAGGAGTATCTCCATATTATATGTAAGACCTTTCCTTTTTGCATTGGGAAATACATGAACAAACCACACACATAACACATGCATGTACACACATTCACTCACTTCACAACCTTTAGACTAAAAAAGGTTTTCACGTTCTTTTGTTACACACATCATTATTTTTGTCACTTGTATACCTTTCTTGTTAATACATTATCATTTTCGACATATATTGGCTGTTGTTGTTTCTTTGTATTTTATCTTGATGGATGTACATGCAAATTCTCCATTTTTGTTGTGGGTATTCCAGGAAACACATGTTATTTCTCAATTCAAACACTGATATAATGGCCCACAACAGAACAAAACTTGTTTGTCATTCTTTTTCCTTTCAGCCATTCTGTTCCATCCTGTTTGTGAAATAATGGCAGAAATAAATGAGAGAAGAAATCTTTCTTCCATAGCTTTCTCCCATTACAATGTTTATGCAAAACTTTATTCTTTTAGACAGTGTATGACTTTCCTTTCACCTCCTTATACAAGTTTGTGACAGTGTAGAGGGTCTGAAAGAGGCCATCAGGTTCTATGAATCGTCTTGGTGGTGATTTAATATGACCACCGATTTATATTAAACGTAAAATACCACAAAGCATGAAATACAAGAAGAAGTAACAAAAGGTTTTAAAACAAACATAACATTGTATTTATTTGTGGGTTGATGTACATGCATAGAAGTTAAAGAATTGATGGAGTTATGTCTCTTAGACTGGGAATATTTTTTACCGGGGCTCATGAAGTTGGATTAATTATTAAACTGTATTTTTAGAAGAATAAAGTTCTTGTTGCATGTTTGGAAATGTTCTATATGTTTGTAGTGTAGATTGGAAAAGTTTGTAAGAGTTCATACATACATGAATGCGTGAAATATTATTTAACGTCTGACCGCATAATTGAGACAATAATTCTCTAGGACTACATTTTGCAGCAAGAAGAGAGAAAAAGAGGAAAAGGTAAACTCGTGTTTGCTATTTATAGATAATGTAATCACATGGCAGGATCAAAAGAACTTGGCGGGAAACTTGACTTTGTTGGGGATGTGCAGAATAAACTAAGGAATTTGCTGTAGCATTGAGATAAATCAGAAGGAATTTTTATATGTCAGGTTGTGTGAACTTTTTCTGCATCCACAACAATAAAACAATTTCAATATAAACAAGACAAAAACATGCATGCAATTCAAAACCAATAAATGCATTTATATACAAATAAAATAATATATACAGAATATTTTTGAAGGTGTTAATGTGTTGGTATGTTCGAAGTTTTTTTGTATGTCCTTTTTATGTCTTGTGTATCTGTGTTACAGTCTTTTTAGAAATTGTAATTAGTATTTAGAATGTCGTAATTATGTTTTTAGAATTGAGTCATTACAAAGTAGTCTACCTTTGACTGTATATGTTGAGTTCGTTCGATAATGTTATTTACTTAGAACAGTAGTGAGTGTTAATTCACTTTAGATAAGTAAAGTCGTTTGGATAGAAGTTTCGGTGTTCACAGAGTGTTCTTCAGTTTGGGCTTGCGAGTGAGTCAGTTGTGATTTTAGTTTGCACAGGAAGATTATAGTTGCAAGTGACGTGGATTATGTTAGCATATCTCTGTGTTCGTTTGACTGACTGATTTATCGTAGATGATCAAAGAGAATGTATAGTTTGAGATTCTTGAATGATGAAGAAGTTCATAGAAGATATTGAACGGGAAAGATTTGTCGTCTCAATTCGTGAGACGGTAATTAGTAGTTGTCACATTTTTAAGCTTGAGTAAGTGGTTGAAAAATGGTCTGCTGCTGATCTGCCCAGGTCTGTGTCTCTGTCTGCCTCTGCCTGTCACATGTGCTTTGGGTTCTTTTTAAGAGGTCATAATCGCGTGGGTGGATCCAGAGCGATTTTGCACCAAAACTTCAAAGTGCACGTGCGGGTGACCTGATTGGTAGAAATGAACCAATCAGAGGGCTAGATTTACGAACGAAAGTTGGAATAGTGCATTACTCGAAGAAAGTAAGATTGGGCTAATGGACCAGCCCAATAACTTAGTCACGTGCTGGAAAAATATATTGTGCGTGGGTGGATTGCAACACCCACTTGTGTGTTTATTGACCAATTAGAAGCTGATATTTCCTGAAAATATTTACTAAGCTGAGAAGGTTCTTGGGATCCAATTCTCCCAAAAGTGCACAAAATCGACTACATGAAAATATAGCGATTATAAAATTGTCGCATAGCTGCAATTTATAAATTATCCATTACACAGTAGTGTTGATTTATTATCCAATGAATGCTTGTTGTTGTATAATTTGAATTTGCATAAGTATATATGTATGTGTATGATGATGATGACCGTTACAACTGTATACACATAGAAGATACTAAACTAGGTGTTTAGTAACCAGTAACTGTATATGGAAATATTAGGAAAAGAAAAATATAATATATAGTCAAAGAGAATATTCAAATGCAACATAATCTTTTGCAATGACTTTCTTTGTATTGTCTTATTTAATATATGATAATTTTTTTTATATCTCTAATATATTTATAATGATTTGAGAATTGGTCCCTAAATGGTTATTTAGAGATTATTTTAATTTGGATAACTTCCAATAAATTTTATTAACATTGGAATATAATAATTGACACACTATAACTATTACTAATCTGTACTGATCTTTGGAGAAGGAAGGGAGATAGGCAGGTAAGTAAAAAAAAAAAAAAAAAAAATAGTAAATTTTCTTTCTTTTTTTTAAAACGGTAAAAAAAAAAATACCTGAAATAGCAAACACTTTAAATCTTTAATATTTCATTTACTACCAGAGAACCGTATCCACTTTTATTCATCATTTATGGATATTGATATATTATATAGCTTGAAATTATTATGAAACATATAAAATATAACACAGTATATGAAAAAATATAAATGAAAGTAAAAAGTGTCATTCCGTTTTCAGAATTACGAGATAAGTTTTTTAATGTTTAGTTGACCACGTGACCACAATCGCAATCATGGCGCTCTGCTGTGCAAGTAAGTATTTGTAGTTTATTTAGCTTTCTTGTTAAATGATTTATCTTAAGTTTCTTCTGCTTCTGTTGTTTTTTTCTATAAATTAGTTGTATATCACTCTGTCTTTTTATTTGCACTATCTTTGGATCTAATAATCGATCAGAAATAAGCCTCCACGGAAAAGAGGAAGTTGTTACCGGTGTCTCCCTCTCTTGCTTGATCCATGTGTTGTGTCTGCATTTGTTTTCTCAACATAAAAAAAAAAAAAAAAATCATAATACGAGAAATTTCGCTTTTCTTTAGTTACACCTGAAATATTTAACCTCTAAAATTAATTTACTTGTTTCTATAACAATTTATAAGTCTATAATAGGTAAATCAAAATTTAATATTAATCTAAAAGATCGTTAGTAAAAAAAAAAAATGTATTTTCAAATAATATGCAAGGTGATCACAAAATGAGGGACCCATTTTTACTTTAACTTATTTTTAGTATTTTTTGTAACTTTATTTATTCGAATGTAGTATTAAAATATCACCGTTATTTGATTTAAATATGATAAAGTTAATCGGTTCATGAAAATATTTCCTTGTTTTGTAAAAATTTAACAAGTCCATTTCAATTTAAAACTCCTCCACTTAACTAAATTCAATTTTTTTTTGCCGCTCTTAAATGCGAACGCAAATAAGAAATATTTAAAATTATCTGCACGTGTTTTTCTCTGATTTATTTTGTTACATTTTATTCTCGAAAATATTCCTCCTTTCTTTTGTAAACAATAAAATTAAAGCATCATTTGATTTTTTTTTAATCTTCATAATTAATAAGAATTTTTTTTTTTATAATGATCATTCATTTATTTACTGAAAACAGTTTCTTCATTTTCAGAAGTGAAACCAAACATTTTAATTTGAAGATTTTAACAAAACAAAATATTTTTTCGTTTTGTTTTTTATGATAACAAAAAAATATGCTAATCAACTTCGGTTTTTCAGTTTATTGATTTTCAATGCAAAATGTAAATATTTGTTGAATGTCGCTATTGACATGACGCACATCGTATTATTTTAAAATTTGGTATAGTAGTCTCTAGTATTCAAAGTCACAGACAATGAGTTTGGTACTATCTGGGTATCTTGCACTTGAGACTAAAAAGCTTAATAATAAGACTACTGATGAAGGCTAAAGATCTCACTCCAAAAGTTCCAATTTTGATAAAGCGTAGCACATCTAGTTAACAAAACATTTTGGGAAATGATAATGCATGTAAATCCCAGACAGGACTTTTTCCTTTAACCTCTTGGTGGTCAGTTCTCTTGCCATGTCAAAACAAATTGTACATTCCGGGATCTTAGTTAGTCTTCTTAAAAAGCTTGAATGTGTCAGTCATCATGGAGTATTGATTTCTATGTCCACAATATATCTACATGCACTCTTCTATGATAAATATATAAAAATTAAACACACGCACCTGTGTGTAATTGATTTGTTTTTTTTTATGACTTATCAACCCTTTGTGTGTTATTTAAAGCCAAAAAACGTATTTTGAATTGTAAGAAGAATAATACTTTCAGCAAGTGAATGTTGCATTTTTAATTTTTTTTTTTTTTTTTTTAAGAACAATGATTTTTCCAAATACCAGTCTTAATAAATATTAGGACTAGTATTTGGAAAAATCATAACCTGAGGGAGGAAATGAATTCATGTCTTTCTCCATTATTTCTACATAAGTGACTGTAATGAACTCTTTTTTCTCATTCAGAGTTGCTGTCCATTACAGTACTTCTGCATCTCTCTCTCTCTCTCACACACACACACACACACATGATATAAAAGAGATGAAAAAAATGATGAAAAGGAGAAATAACCATGGCTACACATGTACACTTGAACAAAGAAAAAATCAACCTTATGCAAATAATAAGTCCACATATTATTTTTAACTTAATATAAAAATAACAAAAATGAGGAAATAAGCAGTCGATTGCTGGTACCTCCAGACGGACAGAGTGATTACTGAAAGGTATGTCTATGACACTCTGGAGTCAAGGTACTGAATCAATCAGCTAAGAGACAAATTTCACATTTGTATTAATAAAATATATATATATATATATATATATATATATATATATATATATATATATTGGCAGCATGTCATTATTAAAGGCATGTATTGTTGAAAACGACGGAACTTTTCTGCTTGATCTTTTTTTTCAGTTTTTTCTTGTTTTCTCACAAGTTTTTTATTATTTGGGTCTAAGTTGTTGAAATAGGACCCTAGTGAATCTATAAAACTAAAACAATAAACAACGTAAAAAAAACATTGTTGGATTCTCTATTGTAGAGATAGTACAAAGAAAAACAAGAGATTTAGTTAAACATTTGTTTGGTAATGGGCATTGGTCAGAATTCCTACAATTACATTGGCCTGTATCCATAACAATATTTTCCTTGGAACTTTTATTATGATTCAGATTATTAAATTGGTTTAGAATTTTATTGTTATATAACTTTATGATCTCAAAAGTATTGGTGCAGCTATAACTTAGTTTTAATGTGTTTCTGTTAAATATTTTACTAAGAGGGTTACTTTTAGGAAAATGTTTATCAATCAATTATAGGAACTTATGGCCTAACTTAGTACAAACTAATTGATTAAATGGGGATGTGTACCAAATGATCTTTCTATTGCTTTTCTTTGGACCACTATCATCATATTTTCTAAACTTGATTTCAGCACACTTATAACTACTATTCTTTACAACTTTATTGTACACACTGCTATATTTATCAAACACATCTTTGTTTGATGAGAAATTACTAATCCTAGGTTCTACAGATGAAGATGTTGGATTACAGATGGAGGGTGGTTAGAACTGGGGTGAATATAAATTGGGTTGGCATTAGTTTTCATATATGGTTGAAATATATCATTAACTAGATCTAACATAACATCAAGAAAATCTACTTGTTTGACATTAGTGCTTATCATAACCTTAAGATTTAAATGTTTTAGTTCTGTATGAATCAATTTTCTTAATTTTAGTGTATTTTTTTTACTACCATAAGGCCAACATCTCTGGATAACCCCATACTATAAACAATATTGGAGATATATATATATATATATATATATATATATATATATATATATATATATATATATGATTGGTATATGGAATAAATTCCAATAACCAACAAATACTATTCTTAAAAGAGTGCTCAATACAGAGTAGAGCAAATATAATTATTTATTTGAAAATTATAACATAAATATGTTATAAAATCACTACAAAACAGCCATCTTGTTTCAACTCTTCTGGTAGAGTTGAAACAAGATGGCTGTTTTGTAGTGATTTTATAACATATTTATGTTATAATTTACGAATAAATAATTATGTGTGTGTGTATACCATCATTTTGTCACTAAAAAAACAGCATTGCATAATAAAGAAGTGGTGCCCCAAACTTAATTAAAACAGTTTTTCATCAAAATATTAAGAGGGAAGACCTAAGTATTTTTTTTTTTTATTAATAAATTTTTTAATCCTTTCTAGTACATTCAAAATTTTCAAAGACTTTTTATTTATTTATTTATTTTTTTTTTGCATCAGCGGTCAAAATAATATTTATAATTAGTATTTTTGTACTTTTTTTTTCTTTCTTTTTCCAAATGAAAATCACATTGATTTGGAAATTCTTGCAAAAATCAAATAATTGTTGGATTTTAATGAAATTTTCAGGACAAATGAATGAAATTATTTTTTAAATTTTCTTTTTTAAAAAATATTAGTAAAAAAAAAATTTTTTTTTTTTTTTACTAATATTTTTATTTTTACTTACCCCCACTTAATTTCATGAAATTTTGAGAAATTAAATTTCAATCTCGAAATTTGTTTTATTAGATAAAAGCAGGTCTCCTTGGACAATGTAAATCATCAATTTCTTTTTTTCAAACTACTGCCCATTTCCTGAAAATTTCCTCCAAATTGTAAAATAAAAAATGCAATAAAGCTATAACATTATTTAATTAGAAAAGCTTTTAATTGCTTTTATAAAGAAGATATATTAAAGACACTATTGTATTAAGAAAAAGATTTTTTTCAATGAATGATGAATTTTTACAAGAATGGCGGGATTTGAACCTGTGTCCTATACCTTAGACCATTTGACTGCATAGGACTTCTTGATCAAACAAAGTCTGAATAATGCCCTTGAATACATATCTTCCCCATTCTTGAAATATACATATTTGTACTGTTTTGTATCCTAACGTAAACAAAGACAATTTTTAGGAAATGGATTAAATCTGACATATTTTTAAGTTTAAATGGCATGTCAGATCTAATGATGGTTTCCCCTAGGGGACACAGATTTGAATCCTGCTAGAGGGTGCATATTTTTCTAACACGATTTCTCGAATATACAGGCCAGTAGATGAAAATAAATATACTGATTAATGAATATTCTCAAATAGGAGTATCCATTTAAAATATCATTTAAGCAAATAAATTAAAAATGTTGGATTTAATTCATTTCCTATATAAAAAAAAAATATATATATATATATATATATATATATATATATATAAAAAAAAAGACAGTGGTTGATACACAGTAGAGCATAATATAATTATTAATTATATATATATATATATATATATATATATTATTGAATTTGTTTTGTTAAACAAAAATTTGGTTCTCCTCACTACATTTTAAATCCTATTTTTAAAAGATTTGTAAAGCAAACATTTCTGTAAATAAAGATCACATCTATGTTGAAGTTTGTTTGGATATAACAAGTTTGACTTTTTGCTTGAATAATATCAAGAAATTAAGTAATGGCATATGATAGGTGAGGTTGACATTGTGGTAACTTGGGCAGAAAAAGATGATAGGATAGGTGTTGATGATTATTTTTTTTAACCAAAAGAAATTACTCAAAGAGTGTTGTTTTTCTTTTGTGAGTGTTTTTTAATTTTCTGTTTTGTTTGAAAAACATTGTGTAACTTAACTTTGAAAAAATGTTTCTAGACAAAAATTCTAATATGTTACTTATGTATAAAATGGATTCATGGCTAAAGAAACTACACGAAATGACATAATTGAATGAACTTGTGGCTGTTGCAACAGATTGCTAGAAAGTATCAGTTGTACAAGTCAGTTGATAAATTTCTGGCCACTTTGAGGATGTTAGAGCCTATTTGAGGTTCTCAACCCTCTTGAACAGCACAGCATGGTTTTTCTTGCCACAGCTTCACTTAAAAGTAGACATATTCCTCATGCTTCTCAGAAAGATGTGTGATTGAACTGTTGACCACCTTATTCTAAGTGGTGTAAGCATACAGGACATGCTCATTTCCAGGACCCCTACAATTCCAATAGATTTGCTCTTTGAATTCAAGTGACTTTGATTCTGTATGACATTTAGATTTTCCATGTCTATAAATAAGGACCAAGGAGGATCTCTTCAGATGGCATCAAACTAATTTCTTCAAGGTCAAGGTTCCATGGTCAGCTCTGTTGGTTGTTTAAGGCTGGATCAGCAAACAACTATTTTGTACCTACTACAAATACTAATGTATCCAGAACCTCTATCAACTTAAGAGACTACGTCATTTTTGCTTTGGGCACTGGAATATCTATTTTTTCATGTGTAAATAATTCTTTTTTCTTTTATATTGTGTTATGAGAAATCTTAAAGAACATGTTTTCTCCTGTGTTACTATATTTGAAGTCATTTTTCCTCTAGACAATACTGTGTATCTTTGACAGTCCATTTAATATTTTATTTGCTTATAAAAGGCAAGTTATAACTAAAAATAGTTATAATAATATTCACTTAATAGTAATTACAAAAAGTATAAACTTGTGAAGTACAATAAGAGATAGTAATTCATGATGCTGTATTTACTAAATGTCACAGAATGGTCTGGACATTCATAGAGACTTGGGCACGGGTATGCAGCCAAAATTTGGAAGGAGCTGATCAGGTGTTCAGAAGTACAACAACCCTATGACCACACCTGGTCATGGGAAGGAAGAATATATTCAAGTGTTTAATTTTCAAAATAATTGGATGCAGGGTGTGATCTGTAAATTTTTACTATATTGTATTTTTAATTTTGTGCATTGTTTGTTGCCTGCACAGTCTGGCAGGGTCAGTTGGGCACCGTCTGTGAGAAAAAAGAGAACCATGACACAATTCACTCCGCCAGAAATTTGGAAACGTCATTCTGTGCTGCTTGGCATTCATGTCGGAAGCTCCAATATGAACATTTCAGAGTGTTTGGGTGTCAATCTAAGGACAGTGCAGAGGATTCAGAAAGAGTTGGATGAGTCTAATGTGATTACAAAGATATTTGGAGTGATTACTAGTGATGGCAATGTTATGCCTCTGTTCATCTACCCACAGAGCCTCAGACTCAACACTGAGGTCTACATCAAGTGTCTTGAGGTAGTGCTGCCCTGGGTCAAGAGGGTGATTGTTGGAAGACTATGTCTGCACCATGCCACACAAGCAGGAGAACCCAATCAAAGCTGTCAGACTATTTCTGCAACCATATCATCCCTTATATCTGGCCACTTAACTCCCCAGTTTACAACCTTCTTGATTATTATGTGTGGGGTGCAGTTGAGTGAGAGACCAACAAAACTCTTTGTAACACCAAAGATGAACTGAAGGCAAGGATTATGACAGCATTCGCCAACTTAAACAAGGTGATTTTCTAGAAGAGTTGCAGTAGATTCCGAAGTTGTCTGGTGGCCATGGTTGAAGCCAAATGCGATTTTTATTAAATAAATCTACTCTTTAGTATTTGAAGATATTTTTGTGTAATTTAGATGCCAATTTACCCATCACACACAATGGTATAATTTTTTTTTATTTTAATTATTTTTTGTTTTTTTAGTTAGCAATGAAACTCCTGAACACCCCTGCATCTCCCCAGTCTCTGGACACATTTTTGAACGGAGACTGCTGGAAAAATACATCCAAGAAAATGGCACCGATCCTATGAATGGAGAGAAGTTGACAGTTGATGTTTTGGTTGATGTAAAAGGTGAGGACAATTTAAATTATATATAGAGAGAGAGAGATATGTAAATTTTGTTCATAGGATATCCTCAATTTTATACTCATAATTAAAGTTTGTGTGGACTTGTATAAAGAATACATTAATTATTGCTAGGTTAGCTGTTGAGAAAGTTGGTTCACTGTGTCGTGCTAGGCAAATTTTCTCTCCAGAATCTATCTTGCATATTTATAAGTGTATCATTCATTCATGCTTAGGACATATGATCCAGTGTTACTGCTATTTATCTAGAGCTTCTTGATAAGATCCAAAAAAGAATCAGCAATATTATTACCCATGTCCTGACGAAATAAACAGTCACTTTCCTGTCACCATAAGGTTGCCTCCCTGTGCCTTTTCTATAAATATGAGCTCTTTACTATGGTGCCTACACTCTTTGAATTTAAGCGCAATACTAAATTGGCAATGAGTTCTCATCAATTTACAGTTGAGTTGGCTAAATGTAACTGTAAATTCTATGCTAAGTTTCCTTTCTGGCTTCTGAAACTTCTTTATGGCTCCATACTTTCAGCAAACTTTAATCTGCAGAAATTTAAATGCAATCAAATTTTCTTTGTTTTTCATATTCAGCGAAAACATGTTTAAAAGGTTGTTGTCCAAATATACATATGTATAAACCACATCCAATCTCAGAATCAGTAATTTTACTAATTACAAAATTAAAACACAGAACTAAAGTATATGATTTTTCAGTACTACCAGACTCAGGGATTACATATGTTTTAATCAATCCTATGTGTTTCTTGAACAATTTAATTTTGAGATTCTGGAGCCTTAATCCTAATGTCTGTTGGCAGATGTTAGGACTGTATAAACATCCTTAATCAGGTGTTAAGATTTCTTTTGAGATTTTCTTTCTTGATCTGGAATTACCAGATTGTATTAATCTCTATGCTAGGCCTACTTAGATGGTTGTCAGTGCCTCACTTGTGCTGATTGTTCAGTGTTGTTCTTTGTCTGTTATCTTAACTTCATTCCACAAGTGTTAATGGCCACTCATTTTCACAGCTGATATGATCAGCCATGCCTGATTTCATTGTCTCTCCCAAAACAACTGCTTTTAATATGCACTTCCCTTGGATAATGGGCGAGTGTTTGAACCTTATTGGCAATCGATCCTTTATTTCCGAGCTACACTGTTGCCTAAAACTAATGAATATGAATGGCTTAATTGAAATTAACTCTTCCACTACTGTGGACATACTTATAAATTTTTCTTTTCTGTTTAATCATTTCACCCCAAGTAAGGCAATAATTTCACTAAAATACAAGAGGTTACTGTGGGTGAAAGAGATAGAAGATTTAGTGAGGAAAAAGGACAATAAAAGAACAATTCTGGAAGACAGATAATGGTAATTGACATTGCATTTCTGAAAATTGTAAGTGGCAGGGAAACAAGAAATCAGAAGAAAATTCCACAGATGAGAAGTGTGAGAAAAGAAACTATTAGAATATGGTTACATTTAGCTATTTCAACAGTAAAACTATGAGACCTAGTTGCCAATCTAGTAGTACGCTTATATCAAGGTGATAAAGGTACTAGGGAGGAGAGCTTATTAAAACAACTGCCATGAAAATATTTATAGAAAAGATAGAGGGAAACCAAGTGGGGAAAATAACTGAAGCTGAGATGCCAGATCAGGACCAATAATATTACAAACCCTTCTTTGTATTTTGTAGAGAATCTTGAGATATATAGCAGAGCACCAGATCAGATATGGCAGTAATATTCAATGCACAGACATATAGTAGATTTATGAATGTGCAAGATGGCTTCTGATGGGAAAAATTGTCTGGCATGACACAGTGGACCAACTTTTCTAGCAGGAGACCTAGTCATTAATTCAGTATAATCACTCCACTGCATGTCAGTAGAAAACACTAGACCAAAAAGTCACAATGAGTTGCTCTCCTGGACACAGAATTATTCTTTATTTCCTATCCATGCTGCTTACTAGCAGTTGTTGAATGATGAGCTGGGATTTTGATAATAAAAAAAATGTGAGAAATAAACTGAAAGAAAAAAAAAAAAAATAATTTCTACTGATTCATTTAAGAAATAATTTTAAGAGCTTTTGATCCCAAATAATGAAATGAACTGAAAATGTTTCTTTTCCTTTTTTTTTTATCTTTTTTCTTTTTTTCTTTTTTCTTTTTAGCTTCTCCTTTGATCAAACCACGTCCACCATCAGCAACTAGCATTCCAGCCATCCTGAAATCACTGCAAGATGAATGGGTTTGTTTTTCATTATGGAATTATTTGCAAAAGAATAGATTTGTCAGTTGATATGAGCTACAATGACCTGGTTATATTTGCAGGAACGTTTTAAGGAAATTGTTTGCACAATGTGATTTAAAAATATTCAGTAGCATATAACCAGGTAGTAATTTTAAGTACCATATATACCTGTATATAAGCTGATTTCATGTATAGTGTAACCCAATGTTTTCATATAGCTCATGTATAATGCAACCCCAGCTTCTGAGCATACCATAATACTTTGTGTATAATTTATATATGAATAGTGTAATATGCTTTTTTGATGATTCCTACTGATACTGTATACCATAATTAAAGCTACTAGAATTAAAATTCATTTGGTATTTTAAGACAATGTAATGGAGCATTATAAGATAATACAAGTAAATGTAGAGAATATTATGATGTCTACCCCGGCCACCCTGTATTCAAGCTAGATCCACTTGGCTGATCATAGAGTTGATTGCTTCAGCCCAAGTCTTGTTTTGCCCCATGTTGTGTTAATTGATCACAAGACTGGTTTGGTCTGAATGGTCGACTGGAATTGATGACTTGATTTGGTCCGGTTAGAGTAAAGTCACACGAAAGAAAAAAAAAAATAAAATGGATAAAAGAAAAAAAAAATATTTATATACAATTCCTTGATACAAGGTTGATGGTACAGTTATTGATGGCTTAAAGCAGGCCTATATTCTCCATTCAATAACTATCAATCCTTTCCAACCATCATGACACACTGTTTGTTGTTATGGTTTTGAACAAGACTTCTAGAACAAGGCTTTAAGTTGGAGTTTTTCTTCAGGGTGGCAAATCACATCAGATCAGGCAAAGTGGTGGTTCTTGTCTTTCCGTTCAGTCTCATCTCTGCAGTCTCTCTCTGCTGTGTCTACTCTCATCTACTTGGTGTTCTGTTTTTAAGAACCCCTATACAAGGGCTGGGGTGAGGCATCATGTTCTCTGGGAATGTCAGCATTCCCAAAAACAACCAATCAGGGCTCTCCCTGTAAATGTCCAAATATGAAGGAGCCCCTTCTCCCTCTTTGGAATTCTACCTGGGTCTTTTCCTTCTTTTGGTCACCTAATCAAACCAGTCTCCTTCCGGCTTTGTGTGAGTGCCTCTCACCATCACTACCCGAGGGTTGTGGAAAGTCCTCCACCTTCCCTGAAATTCCACCTGGGTCTTTTCCTCTTTGGTCACCTGATCAAACCCATCTCCTAAGGGCGAGGTATGGTCTAGCCCAAACAGCCAAATTTTAATTATCGTTCAAAATTCTTATCCTGCTTTTGTGTGTGGTCATTTTCGCATCTGGGATTTATCTTTTTTTTTTTTTTTTACCCTTTTGTTAAACCTTTGGTCAACAAGTAACAAAAAGAGGACAGTTCCTTGATTTGGGAAATTTTATCATGTTTCGGCAGACAAAAAATTTAATTATCATTCTTTACCTCTCTTCTTTTGGGAACATGTCTGCTTTTAAAAGTTAATCCTTATCAATCGGATGAATTCGCAGCCAGAGGTCTGACCTCCTTTGCATCACGCAATGGTTGTAAAAATATTATCTATTTCTTTCCAGGAGGTCCTTGGACCTCCAGGAATATGCCATCACTTAATCTCAGTCCTAACCAAAACCAGATAGTCTCTTTGTTTTACATCTCTGATGACTAGAAATTTAATTACCTTCCTTTATTTCTATTTTCTTTCATCTGGTCATCAGTATATCTTCAGTCTATCGAAAATTAGTGGTTTTCTATCTTCTAGTTTTTTTCCTAAAAAAAAAAAAAAAAAGTACAAATATCCTTTTCTTTTATCTTCCTTTGTCTGGTTATCAGTATATCTTCAGTCTATCAGAGATTAGTATTTGATATTCATCTTTTGAACTTTTTAAAAGCATATTTACATGAAGTACTTTTGTGGCCTTGTTCATATACCTAAATTTCTAATTTGGCCTATTAGAAAAAAAAAATGCTGCACAACCCTGAGTTAGATTATATATTCTCCTTACCCTATCTGTGCTCTTTAAAAATCAAATATTAAAAATATTTTATTTTTTCTGATTTAAAAAAAAAAATGAAAATATTTTTATTTTCTTTACAATTTTCTGTTACTACTTTCTGTTTGAATTCCTGGGATGACGAGTTATCATTATTTATGTTATTTATATGCGGACCATTGTTCTCGTCTTTGAATTGTTATCATGACATTTTGGCTGTTGTTCCCTCCAACTTTCATGAGGTGTATGTCAATCCAGGTAGCCTACAGTGAATTCAAATCTGAAATTTACAAACCAATGCTTTAATCCACTAGGCTATTGTTCCGTGTTAAACCTGGAACATTAAACCTAACCTGCCTGCTGATGAGTGCTGCAGCTGTTGAAGAATTGCTGGCATTTTTCTTTATAAGCGTCTCCTATCCTATATTTATTTGTATGCTAGGCCTACTAAGGAGGTTCACATAGCCTAGTATATGTGATGATTCTTTGAGATGTTTAACTCTCCAGTGTTCTTCCTTGTCTAGTGTTTTCACTTTTCCACAGGGGCTGATGACTACCTTTTCCTTGTAGTTTACTGGATTGACATACATCTGATGAGGGCTGGAGATCACAACAGCCAAAATATTGTGATAAAAAAGATGAGGATAATGGTCTGTATGTACATAATATAAAAAGATGAAAACTATATTCACATTTTCCTCTCACCTGCATTTGTTGATACATTTTCTTTTTCTGAGTGTGGCAGAAATACCTCCTAGCTAATATCTTACCATTATCTGGGAGGTATTTCTATCACACTCTGTAGTTCAGCTATAAATTATTATGGGTCAATTAAAAAGAAAAGATTAACTTTAGTGTTGAGAATTGATGTTGGAAATTTGGTTTTAAGAAGTAGGTATTGTAATGAAGTCGTATCAACTCATAAAAATGTGAAGTTTGAATGTGTCTTTAATATTACATTTTATTTCATTCAGGTACTTTGCCAATTACTTTCAGCCAGTGTATATGTGTAGGACACAATGGCACTATATTCTAAATTTGGACCATTCTCATCTGTGATGCCTGAGAGACTGCTCATCTCCTTATTGGGATGGGTATCTATATAACTGTATGTAATATGGTTTTTTTCCCAGGCACTGCTCTGCCAATCATGTGGGTCTTTAATTGGCAGCAGGGAATCTATCTCAGGTCAAAAATGTACCTTACTTTCTTGTTGCTCTGGTGTGATATTGAGTGCAAAGTCTATTCTGGTATGATCATGAAAGTTGTTTTTTTTTTTTTTTTTACAACTTGCTTTCATTAAGTGGTTTATCTTTATTTTTTATTAGTAAAATTTGTTTTTCTTTTAGAGAATCAATGGCATTGAATGTGGTAAAATTTGTTTATTTTCTAATTTTTGTGGCTAAGGTTGACATAAAGAATTTTTATTAGCTTTAAAATAGTTATTCACATAAAAATGACATTCTGTATTTTATGTAGACTTTATCTTTAATGGAATCTAATCTGCTTTCTCTATAGGATGCTGTGATGTTGCACAGTTTTACATTGAGACAACAACTGCAGACAGCAAGACAAGGTCAGTATTTGTTCTAAAATTAAGGAATCATTTCAACATTTGTTTATAATTCAGTATGCTGTGGTATAAGCATGTAAATAGGAAAATGATGAGACAAAGTGGAAAATTTATAAACAATGTATTTTGCCAAGAGCGCCTGCTCTCTTTGGCTTTCTCAGGTTAAAATGAAAGAAAGACAAAACTGTCTGAGGAATAATGCATTGGGATCACTGAGAATAAGTGGGGACATAAATCAAATTTGATTACCTTATCAAATCCAATGTCTAGAGTATCCACTTGTTTGTTATATATATATATATATATATTAGAGACATTTGGTGTCTTGGATTAAATTGTTTGTATTAAATTTAGTGTTGTATATAATTAGTTTTATTTTTTTACTGGTATCAATGGGGGATATCTTAATCATCTGCAATAATTCTTCTCCATCAACTAGCATTTTGCAAAAACAACTTTGTATATCAATTTAAATGTATCTCTGACAAAACTGTAAATATGTATGTTGGTTTTACAGCTACAACTCTATCAAGAAGACTTACATTTCATATGAATGATTATATTTCAGTCTCTCAACATTTGAAGCAATATTCCTGTACATATTCCCAATTTAGAGAAATATCAAACTTGACAATACAACTATACTCTATCACAAAAATAAAAAACAAAAACTTCAAATTCTGGAAGCGTTTAACAAAAAAAAAATTTATAGCCAAAAATAAATAAAAATCAATTATGAGTATAGCAACAAAGTTCAAAAATGTTTATAACAGTAAGGTTTAAATATCTAAATTGTAATTGTTAAAGCTTCAACTAAAAAACAATATTTTAAAACATGTAATTACAATTATTAATGAGAATTTATATAAATTAAGTTACCTCCCTTACATGGTGGTAAATTTTAAAACTTTTACAACATGCATGCTCACATATTCATAACTTACATTAATTCTTTGTCTTAGCAAATTCACCTCTGAAGGTGATCTTGAATGAGATTGAAACTACTTGGGAAAATAAAAATCCTATGGATAATTATGACTTTTTTCTGGTTCAATTTTGTATAGACACTAAGAAATTGATTTGTGAACTTGAGAGGATTAAAATAATAAAAACAGACATGTCTAGATTATTTAACCAAACATGCTTATATAAGAATGTGCATCTGATTGCAATAATTAGAAAGAGGCTGCTTGTAGGGGAAGAAACACTTTGAGGAGAAGAGGAGGCACACAAAGGTTAAAATAGATGTGCATAAACTTGAACTTCCTGAAGACACCCTCAGGCAGCTCGGTCAGATGTGTACAGATTGTGGTAGTGTGTGTTTGTTGATGGCTGGTCTAAGGAGTCACTTTAGAGTGCACCGTGGAGGGTGGCAATTGATTATAAAACTGTAGAAGTCCAGCAACTGAAATGTGATATTTGCGGTAAGACATGCAGGTCCAGAAACGGTTTCATGTGACATTTTAAATTGCATGATAATATAACACCCGCTGTTGCACGTCTTAAATGCCTTGTTTATGCCAGAGTCTGTAGGTAATTTTGTTGGGCTAAAGAGCCAAATTCGTTCAGCACATCAGTAGATATTCTCCAAAAAAGATATATAGTAATATTGTTCTCAGACATAGGAAGTTGTCAAACCAAATATATATATATATATATATATATATATATATATATATATATATATATATATATACACATACACACACACACAATTAGGCATTATAAATTTTTTTTAATTTATACTTGTACACAAATGCATACACACAAGTATTTCTTATATATAAAGACATACCTGTGTGTTTATATATACATATTAGAGCTGAAAGAGATCACCTACATCCTGAACAGATGTAACATAAAAAATAAATAAATGTTACCATATTGCACCTACGACTCACTAAGACATTAGACGAGTGAAGCTTTGGTTTAAATGTTGACCTTAGGTTTTCATCCTGAATTTCATATTTCAACAAGAAACAAAAGGATTGGTTACCAGTTGGGCTTCTTCCCCCCCCCCATTCCTAATAAATGATTGATATTCTTAGCAAGTTTGTTCTGTTTGAATGTTTTCTTCCATCTCTAAAAATGCAAATTACTTTCTAAACAGTCTACTTCATTTCAGTAATAAGTTTCTATATACAATAGAGTAAATAGTATGAGATAAACACACACATTTTTAAATGGATTTTTTAATCCAACATTATTTCTTGCTATTATAAATGTTATTTTTAGTTGGTAAAAAGCGAATGTCAATTCAAATATGGGTACCTACTCAAAATAACCTTTATAATAATACATACATATATGTAGGCATGAGCACTTCAAATGGGTGTAATGGTTAGCAAGCTTCTCTAACTAACATTTATGGCTGAGTAATGAGTTTGATCCTCATTGGGTGTTCCATACTTTCAGTCTTGTGCCATATTTTAATTTTTTTTTTAAAAAAAAAAACCATTACATTATACATGTCATGGGGCATCTCGACAAATGGTGTAATGGTTAGAAAGTTTCTTGCTATATCAAAAATATAATGAGTAGTGAGTTAGATCCTCACTGGATGCCCCATACAAAAAAAAAATATGTCACATCTAAGCCGTGCTTAGAAAATCTACACATATATGTGTCATGCATTTATCTTGTGAGATAAATGTTAGCGCCCTGTTTGATCAAACATTCAGTCCTTTTGTGTGCAGTGTTTGCAGTGAATTAACAAGCCAATCTTTTCATGGCACTCTCTTCTGTAGGTGGAATATACAATAATGAAGTTAACACCCAGAGATGACAGTCTGTTTCATGCTAAATGCAATCATCAGGCGACTCTCTTACATATGGCCTGATTGTATTTAGCATGTGTCCACTTTTATATTTACATATGCTCTTTCTATGATGTTGAGCACTTCAACTCCTACATATAGCATACCTTAAAACTAAGCATGTCCACTGTTTTCGCAGAAAAACAGCATAGCGTAAATGAAAAATGCCACAAACTTAAAGAAAATAAAGTATTATCGTCAAAATGCTTATGTTATTATTTAGATGAAAGAAAAAAGTATTTTTTAATTATTTTTTTGAAATTTTTTAATATTTTCTAACACGTTCGAAATTTTGGTTAAAGTCGTCTTTGTTTACGTCATCGCGGTGACGTTTAAAATAACATAGTTTTTTTTTTTTTTTTTTTTTTACCGTTGAAAACATATTGATTTGGAAATTCTTGTAAAATAAAATAATTGTCCAATCTTAATGAAATTTTCAGGACTTATTCACAAATCAATGAAATTATTTTTGAAATATTTTTTTTTTAGAAAATTTTGGTAAAAATTATTTTTTTAAAATATGTTACCCCACATTTACTTAATTTAATGAAATTTCGCTTAAAAACCTTTTGGTTCCTGAATTTTTTTTTTTGTTAAAAGTAGGAGTCTTTGAAGATGGTAAATAACCTACTTTTTTTTTTCAAATTTGAGCTATTTAACTGAAAATCTGCTCTGAATTGAAAAATAATGAATCCAATAAAACTATAATATTATTTAATTAGAAAAGCTTTTAATTGCTTTTGTAAATAAGTAATATTAAGAACATTATTGTCTGAAGAAATAATTTTTTCTGATGAATAATTAATTTTACAAGAATTTTTTCGTTTTTAAGAAATTTTAATTATAATAATTTATAATAGTTTTAAATCGTGTAAAGCTCTGTATTAGGAGGTTCCTTGATATTATGTAGTAATTAAGTAAAAAAAATTTACGAATCCAAAATTGCTAAGTTTAATAAATTTAGTTGAGCTACTTTTTTTAAAAATAATTTTTTTATGTTGTATTTTTTACTTAATACATTCCTTATTTCCATGTATGATATACAGAAATTGCCATTATTATAACAAGGTCACGTGATCTAAGGGTTTTGTCCCTTTACGTGGCCTTTTCAAAACATTTCGTTTCTTATAAGTTGTATTTTTTTCAGTTCAAAAGTGTAAACTTTAAATTTTAAATTATTTTTTCTTTTTTTCATTTACTATTTCACTAAATAATTTTATTTTATGTATTGTATTGTGTGTGTCATACTCAAATAGAATAATTTTTTTAAAAACTCAGACTTAAAAATTATGTCATTTATGGTCATCAGTAGTAGCTGTCATCGGCTCGTCAATCAACCATCATCAATAGATCGAACAGATGAACAGGACCGCTCGTTAATAATTGGTTGTATATTATTTTTTTATGCTATAAGTAACAAAGATTTCTTTGAAATCAGATTACTTTAACTTTAAATTTTTTAATTTTACTAAAATAACGTGTCAGAATTTTTTTTAAATATTTTAAAAATCGATAAATTTGTGTTTGTTTACAAATTTCTTAAAATTAAGAAAATGGCCGTTTTTAAGAAAATTAAAAAATTTGAAATTAAATTTGACAATCAAATGTATATAGTTTCTATCTGAAATACACCAGAATTGTTTAATTAATAGAAATCGTAAATTTAGTTATTAAACTTTCAATTAAAGCTAAAATGAAATCTTCAAGAATGTTTTTTCATTGTAAAAAATTCATTTTAAACTTCAATATAGAAAATTTATGCCGAAATAGTTCTCCAACTTTTACATTTACTTAAAACTATTTTTTATATATATATATATATATATATATAAAAGTGTTTTATTCAATTATCTATTAGCCTGTATAAAATTTCATTTATCTTTTGGGATAAATTTGTGTGACCTTTTGTCTGGAGATGTCAAGTCAGCTAGAGGTTAGTTACTGTGTGAAAATTCAGATATAGCTAAAATTATCTCTGTAAAAAGAGTATGAATAAAGTTTTCATTTTCGTATTTATTTAAATTGGTAAATATTTATTCAAGTTTTTTTTTCCCCTCTCCACTTTCGTTTCAACGTTTACTCACTATAAAACTTAACTTTTTTTGTATCTGTGATTTTATAATTTCATATTCTCTTTCCATTGAGGAGTTTGATTGCATTAATATTAACTCTCTGTCTCTCTCTCTCCATCCATCTACTGAGTGCAATTCTGATAATACAAAATAGAGCTAAAAAAAAAACAATTCTTGGCCCAGCCAAGAAGCCCTTACAAAAAGTAAATAAAACAAAGGTTGATCAATTGATCAGTTTTGGGGAAGTGGGTTGGGTTGGGTTGTATTTTTCACTGCTCCCTCATATTTAAACTCTTTACCAATTATACAATTTCATGTTTACATGCAACTGTACTTTCTTTACTAATGTCTACTAGTATATGTAGAATATTTATGCTTTACTCTACATGTGTGATTATTGAATAATATTTATTTTTAAAAAATTTTTTTTTTCTTTTCCCTCTCTGATTTCTTTAGAATTGTCTCATGCTCTCTACCAACATGATGCGGCATGTCGTGTTATCGCCCGTCTCACAAAGGAAGTAACTGCTGCTCGTGAAGGTAAGACATTCTATTTCAATTGGCTGTCACTAAAATTTAATTCAATTTTAATCATTGCTTATCATCTTACTTGTTGTTAATCCATACAGATATCTTTCATTTCAAAATTACAATGAATTAATTACATTGGCATGTGTGTGTGTGTGTATATATATATATATATATATATATGCACATTTATTTTAACCCAACAATTTCATTATTTCAAACATTTAGCGGATGCTTGTATTTGAACTAGACACCTCGTTCTTATTTTTATTTTAAACAGTGTATATTACATTTATTGACCGATGTATTCAAGAGATCTTTAAGATTTCTCAAATATGCAGACCAATAGTCATAATACACACTTTAAAGTAAAAATAAAAATAGGGTCTATTTCAAATATGACTATCCACTAAATAATAATGTTTGAAGCTAGCTATATATATATATATAGCCCCCCCCCAAAAAAAAATGACATCATTTAAAATATGAAATTTAACTGCATGTCACAGGCAAACAAAAAGTTAAATATCTCTTCATGTTGAACAATAACAGATTTATTTTTTTTTTAGATTTTATAAAAAATTTTGCAAAGCTTCAAAAAACACTACCTGTGACATGACAGATGTTAAGTCAGATTAAAATTAAAAATATAAAAAATGCTGTAGCATGTCTTGCATATATTCTCCAGCACCTCAGTGATTCTCTTTAAGTTCCTCTAATATTTGAAAAAAAGGGGATATACCTTGTTGTTTCACAAGCCCATATTTAGAAAAATTGGTAAATTCAAATCAGGTGAACCTGGTGGCCAAAAAAAACACATTGTCATTATCACTAGCACATTTGATTGGTAACCTGATAGATTCTCATTGAGGTTTTGCAGTTCAACTTTCTTTTTACACATTTTCAAAAAAAAATGACATAATTTGGTGAGAATTAACTATATTATTGACTACAAAATGATGTCAATTTTTGGGGACACTCTGTGTAATTTTTACACACACACACAAATATCAAATATTTAATTTGAAGAAGGAAAAAACAACCAACCATTGAAAATTCTGTAAATAAAAATTTTATTTTTTGAAAAAATGAAATATTTTTCAATTACTGAATTCTTTCAAATTGGTTTATTTTTCCTTTCAAAAATAAATAAAAATTTTCTGTATTTAAATACACAATTTAATAAATTTTTTTTATGGATCAATCTTTTAAATTTAATATTTTTTTAAAATACTTGGAAAATGTTATTTCTGAAACAAAAATTATTTCTTTAATATTTTTTTTATATAATGAATTATTTTTAAAACAAACTAAAAAAAAAAAAATGTTTATAGTGAATAAATATTCATTTTCAAAAAATTGAATTACAATAATAAATTTTAAAATTTTAAATTTATAAATTTAAATATGAATATAAATTTATTTAAAATAAGTATAAATTGATTATTTATCATAAATCTTTTTATTAAACTCCAAATATGATCAATCTGAATAACATTGCAAATTCTCTAATTTTCAATGTTTTACATACTGAAAAATTTAACAATGGGTTTAAATCTTTTTGTGTTCAAAATTTTTTATTTAGGATTATATAGTTTTTCTTGAAATTTTAATTTTTTGGAAATTAAATTTAAATTTTCTTGAATGAAATTTTTGTAAAGTGCCTAAAAAAATTTACCATATACATTGACCCAAGTTTTGGGAGGTGAAAATGAGGGAAACAAACACACATTTTTATGAATTGAAAACAAAAATGGAGAAAAAATTTAATTTAAAACCAATTGTTTTTAACATTTTAATTTAAAAAAAAAAAAAAAAAAGAAAATTTTTCCTTTTTTGAATATTATTTATTTTAGGAAAAAAAAAATACATGTTCAAATGGAATTAAAAAAAAATTGCATTTAAATGTTTTTTGTAAGAAAATATTTTTTTTTTCAAAAAAAAAAAGTTCATTATTTTGAAAAAATTTAAATTTTTTTTTAAATTTTAATGTTTTTAATTGTTCTTTCAATTTTTGATATACATGTTTAAAAAACAATACTATCTTTTAAATATATGTATATATATATATATAAATATTTATAAAAAATTCAAATTCCATGTTAAAAATCTTTCAAAATAAATGTTTAAAATTATTATTAAAAATAAAACTAAAATTGATTATATTTTTTATAAAATATATCAGAAAATTGTGTAACGTGTTATTATCTTTCTCATTTCTTAAATTTCATTTTTACTAAAATTAAAATGTTTTATTTAAAATCATAACTTTATAAGTTTTTTAATGGCTAATTGAAACAAACAAAAAAAATATAAACAGATCTTTTTTTCAATTTATTTAAAATCAAATATCCAATTTTTCAATGAAATTTTTCTTTTATAATTCATATTAAAATATTCAAATGTGATAGAAATTAAATGATAGTTTTATATATATCAATAAATGTTGTGAAATTCTCTTGATTAAAAATATTTTTCTGAATTTTTTTTTAGCTTTTAATTTGTTTTTTTTTTTTCAATTTTTTCAAAGGAAATATGTTGGTATACTAAAAATTCTTGCTGGATATACCCATCAAAAACGCCACAACCTATAAAAAAGTATTCAAAAAAACAAACAAAGAAAAAAAATCCTTCCTCAAAATATGCCATTAAATTCTTTTTTTTTTTTTAAATTTAAAACTCAAATAAATCATTTTAAATCAAAGAATTTAAAATTTTAATTAAATTCTTTAGAAAAATGTTTCCAAATACTATGAAAAAATTTATTATCTAGATGAAAAATGGAAAAAAAAAATAGAAAATTTAAAAAAAAAAGGATAAAAAATAAAATAAATTTGATTGTCTTTTTGAAGTACTCTTATTGTATTTGTTTCTTGTTTTTTTTTTTATCTTTATAGGCCTATGCTGCTGAGGCTGGACCAGAAGCTTGCTAGCAGCCAATTATTTTTAAAAATGAAAATTTTTTTTAAAAAAGGAGAAGAAATTTAACAATTTAAAATTGAAAACAAAATAAACAGAGAAACTATTATATACATAAAAATATTTAAATAAATTTTTTTTTTATTTTTTTTTTTTTTTTTTTAACAGAAAAAAATAATATATCTTTAAAAAAAAAAAAGGAAAAAGGAACAAATTTTTTTTTTTTTTAAAAATTAGGAAATTATTTTTATATTAAAGAAAGACAATAAATAATTTTTTAAATGTAATGGATAATGGCTTGGGATTAATAATATTTTTATAAAAATGAAACAAAATTCCAGTTTTTTTTTTTAATCAATTTTATAGAAAACAAACCTTAAAAAAAAAGGATTCTAATTTCTTCCCTTTTTTATTTTTTTGGGTTAAAATAGTTAAAGATTTTATCACTAAATAAATTATAAAAAAAAAATTCAAATAGTTAAAAATATTTCCTGGCTTTAAATAAATCAAAGGTTGATATTTCAAAAAAATAAAATCAACTAAAGAAAAGGATTATTTAGGACAGGATAATAATAGAAAAATTTAAAATGAAAAGTGATTCTCAAGGTAAAAAAATTTTAAAAAATGATTTGAAATATTTTTGGACAAAAAAAAAAATATTCATTTTAGATTTTTTTTCTCCATTTTTTTTTTGATAAATAAAATGTAAACATTGTTAAAAAATTTTATTTCTTTTTTAAATGTGGACCAATAAAATTAAAAAAATGGACATTTATAATTTTTAAAAAGAAATAATACATTAATGAATAATTGAATATAAAACAGATGGAAAATCTGGAAAAAAAAATGTATCTTTTAGAAAAAAAATTCAAATGTTTCAAAAATCAAAATCTCCCTTAAAAATTCAATGGCAATTATTTTTGAAAATTTTTTTAAATAAACAAACTCTCATGCCAACATTTAGTAATCAATTTAAATTTTAAAAAATTTGTAACAAAATTTTTTCATTTTTTTTATCCTATTTAAAATATTTCTTTTAAAAAGAAAATAAAATTTTTTTTATCAACTATTTGATGTTGGAATATCATTCATTAAAAAAAAAAAATTTCCTAAAAAATTACTTAATTTTTTTTATATAAATAGCAGTGTTTTGAAAATTTAACATAGTTGAAATAACCAAAATTTTTTTTTATTTTTTTTGAGGAGGAGGATGGTTGAATGGTATCAGAAATAAATTTTTGAACATGATTCACAAAAAAAAAATTTGTAATTTAGATTCAAATTTTAAAATTTAACAAATTTTCTTGTTTCTTGATTTGAAAACAAAAAACATATTTTAGCTTTTTTTGTTATCCAAACTAAACAAATTTTTTTTTTTTGATCATGTTAAAAATTTATTCAAAATTCGTTAAAATTAAATAAATTAAAGGTAATATGACAAAGCTAAAGGATTCCTTCTCTTAATTTTGAAATTTCTGTTTTCTTTTCTATGGTTTATTTAATAAGACAAATAAAAATATTTTTTATTTTTTTTTTCAAGAATATCTAAATTTATTTTGACATTTTGTAATTTAAAATATTAGTTTTTTTGGACATTTTTTCAGCCATAACTTGCAATTTGAAAAAAAAATTAGATTAAAATTTTTCTCTTACCATATATATAAAAAAAATTTTATATATATATATATCATATCATTTTAATTTGAACAAAAAAAACATGACAACATTAAAAAAAATGGCTCAATTTATTGTGATTCCAAAAAAAAATATAACTGCCTTTAAAATTTCCTTTAGACATATTTTATCAAGCAAAAATTGAAAAATTTTAAAAATGTTAAATTAAAATAGATTTGCTTCATATTGCCTAACATTATGTGAAGAATAAACTTTCTATTAAAATTGCGATGGATAAAAAAAATATAAATAAATTATAAATTATGAAAATAATATATATATAAGTTTTATATATATACATATGCAATGGATAAATTGTTGTCTCAATTATGCAAAAATGAAAATAACACTGACATCTCATTTTAACAGATATATTTACCAAAATTACACAAAAATATCTTGAAATACTAAAGAGTAAATTTATTCAATAAAATCGCCATTGGCTTCAACCATGGCCTCCAGACAACTTCGGAATCTCCTGCAACTCTTCTGGATGGTCTCCTTGTTTAAGTTGGTGAATATTGCCATAATCCTTGCCTTTAGTTCATCTTTGGTGTTACAAGGAGTTTTTGTTGGTCACTTGCTCAACTGTGCCCCACACATAATAATCAAGAGGGTTGCAGTCTGGGGAGTTAGGTGGCCAGATGTAAGGGGTGATGTGGTCACAGAAATTGTCTGACAGCCATGACTGGGTTCTCCTGCTTGTGTGGCATGGTGCAGAGTCCTGTTGCCAGATATAGGGTCTTCCAGCAGCCACCCTCTTGACCTAGGGCAGCACTACCTCCTCAAGGCACTTGATGTAGGCCTTCATGTTGAGTCTGAGGCCCTCACCAACAAATTCAGGAGTTCTTTTCTTATCAGAATAATCAGTGAGTTTTCCAAGCTGTCATATGTTCATAATCACCAATTAGATTCATCCAATTCTTTCCAAATCCTCTGCACTGTCCTCAGACTGGCACCCAAACACACTGAATTGTTTGTATTGGAGCTTCTGGCATGAATGCCAAGCAGTACAGCATGCCATTTCCAAATTTCTTGAAGATTGAATTGTGTCATAGTGATCTTTTTTTCTCACAGATGGTGCCCAACTGACCCTACTCTAATGTGCAGTCAACAAAATCAAAAACAAACAACATGCATACATGAAATGAAAAATATAAAATGGCGACAATTTACCCATCGCACCCTGTATTTATGGAAGATGTGTTTTCAAATATTTGTCTACATTACATTTTATAAATATGGATGTTTCAAGAGACTTTACAGTTTCTCTGAAAACTTTTTGCTGATTCACAAATTGGCTTACATAGTTTATGAATTAAGAGAAGCTGTTAAATCTGTGAATATGGAGACTAAGAACATTTTAAAAAAATTTTCATTTATAAATAAAATATTTATATTTTTTTTTTTTTTTTAAAAGCTCAAGACAAGGCAACATTGTTAAACAAATGAAAGAAAAAGTTAATTTCATCTTTTCAAAACTTGTCAAGAATTAAGTTTTCCTGTTTTTTTTCATATAAATTTCTCTATGTTAAAATATTTCACTGAAGATAATTTAATACATAAATATATATATGATTAAAAAAAAAGATGGTCCAAATGCTTATTATAATATTATATTTAATTTTAGGTTAATAGCCCACAAGGAATAAAATGCCAACAAATGATAAAAATATTGGCAATAAGATTGATGATATTTAAAATATTTTTTTTGACTAAATTAAAAAACACTTAAAAAGGATATTTTTAAAGTCAGAATTTTTTGTTAAAAAAGGACCATTTGAAATTAAAAATTAGCCAATAAATGCAGAACAAAAATTTAAAAATTTTCATAAAAATAATTTTGGTTATAGACCATTTTTTACATTTTACAGAAAAATAAGAAAACACAAATTAAACTAAAATTTATGTCCTTTTTATTGCAAATTAAATATTTTCATTTTTATCCAACCAAAATCATTAACCAACTTTATTACACCATACATTTTTTATAAAACAGCATCAAAATTTTTGAATAAAATCCAAATCCTAAAAAAAATTTCAAATAATAAAACTATAGCCTCACTTGATGTTAAAAACTATTCACCAGTGTCCCATTTTAATTTATTTTGTAGGCATAATTATAAAATATATACAATTTTCCATCTCCCTCCATTAAAATTAGTTATACATATTGAAAAAACTATTTTAATTTGTACTATAAAAAGTTCCATTCTTTTTAAATAAACAATATATATATTTTTCAGTTCTCAAAATGAACAAAGTAATTTTTTTATATTCATAACCTTAAAAATAATATATAATTTAATTTTAAAAAAAAACCTTCCATCTAAATATAGATACTTTGACAATATCCTCATCTTTGATGCACCTGAAAAAAAACATTGATGAAATACATGAACTAACAAAAAGAAAAACAAAAAAAAAAGGTTTTTAAATTCACATATGAAATAAATAATAATAAAATTTAGCTTTTCTTTAATATATTGATAGACATTTTTAATAATACATTCATTTATGTGGAATATAAAATTTTCTTTAAAATAAAACTGACTTTTGTCTCTCAATTTTATCAGTGAATGTCCTAAGTATTACAAATTAGAAATTATACAAAATTTAATAAACCATACTAAAGTTAACTCATCTACAAAAAAAATTTTTTTTCACTGAACTAAAAGACATTTAACCTGGGACAATGCCTTTATCAAATTTTACCTCTGCTTTGGTTTTATTTGCCTCTAAGTTTATAAAATACCAAAAGAATATTTTCTTTGTTATATTGTAATCTAACAAAATTATTTATTTTCTGTCCTTTTTGTCATATCTGTTTTATTTTTTAAATGAAAAAAGAACAACAAACTTGAATAAAATAAATAAATGAAATTACAAAAAAATTATCTATTCTGATGCAGCAGAATTATATAAAATCCCTCCTCCCTTCCCAACTACAGTTCTTATATTTTTAATTTTATTTATTATATGGTTGAATATTTTATTATTTTTTATTAATAAAAAAAAATAAAATTCTTTTCAATAAAAAAACCCCAAAAAATAAAAAACCAGGAAAATCATTTTTGTTCCTTTCTAAGCCAAATGTTTTAAAAAAGTTGAACTGGATTATTCAGCACTAAATGCCGTCTATTTATAAGAATTAATTTTAAAATGTACTAAACTTTCTGACGATTTGAAATTTATTTTTCAGAGAGGTAAAACTGTTCCTGAAGGTCTGGCCAATTCTGAGGACATTCGTGTTTACCGACAACTGGCTTCCCATACAGTAAGCTAATATTTGATTGTTGAATTGATTTTGCTGTATCTGATTCCAAAATAAGTTTGTTTGTTTGCAAGACATTCTCATAAGGAAATCAGCTGCTTTTGATATTTATGTTTAACATTAAAATATATTTAATTGGCTCCTAATACTGTAGAATTGCTTTAAAGGATTTATTGATCTTTTGCTGGCCAAACACATTTTATTTCTTTGTTATAAGACTCACAGTATCCAAAATTCTGATCCTCCTTTCTCTTTAATTTGCTGGTACAAGTACATATAGAGTGAAAGCAAGCTTAATTTGCTGGTACAAGTATGTGTAAGCTGAAACTTATTTGCCAGTACAAACACATATTTTAGTAAAATATAGGTACAGTAGTGTTTTGTGGTGCAATACTTTTCATCTATCAGGATAGGTAAATTGTCAGTTTGGTGAGTTAAGCTGGTAACATTTCACCTGTAATAGTGGGTTTTTTCATCTGAAAAGATTACTTGTAATAATATTTATTTGAATATTAATAATATTTGTCTATGTAAATAAAGATGACAAACCTACAAGACAGGAATGGTTGCATCCGGTAAGCTCTAAGACGTGAAGCAACTCTTGTGTTGACATATGCCCATCAAGAACAATTTCTGATTTGTATTTTTAGTTAACAGCTGTAGTCTGAAAGTTGCAATAAAAAGCATAAATTAAGATTAACTAATCAAGAAATTGATTGTAATAAAATATTTCCCAAAAATTTTTCCCCATCTCCAAAAAAATAATTATATATATATATATATATATATATATATATATTGTGCATTTATAATCTACCATTTCTCTGTGTATTGAATATTTCTGCCATATCTTTAAAATTGCTTGAAATATATCTCTAGATTCTTGACAAAATTCAAAGAAGGGTCTGTAATGTTCACAATTCTGACCTAAATTCTTACTTAAGTCACTTTTTGATGTTTATATCACATATTATTTCTGTTCTTTCTACAAAATTTTCATGGTAATTGTTCTGATGATTTTTTTGTCTTTGGTGCCTTAAATGCAAAAATTTAAACAAAAAAGCTTTCTTTTTGTTAAAATAAAATGGGACCTTTAAGTTGCCAATCTTTTATAGATATTTGGCAACTAGGTAAATCAAACAATTAAATATTGATTTATTTATATATTATATTTATTCTAATAGTTATATTTTCCTTGCATTTATCATCTGAAACTTTCTTTTTTTTGAATTATTTATAACAATCAAAAAAAATTTAAATGCAACATCAATTGCCATCTTCCAAATATTGCATCCATCTATACAGCTGAATTACAAGCCATAAAAATGCCACTTAAAATGATAGATAATTTCTATATAGGAAATTTATAATATTTTCAGACTTCTTATCTAGTTTAACAGCAATTAAAGAAAATAAAACAAATCATCACAATATTCAAGAAATCCTAGAAGCTTTTAATAAAGCACAAAACAATAACATTGGCTTGGATTCCTAGCCATATGGGCATTAAAGGAAATCATGAAGCTGACACTAAGGCAAAAGACACAATGAAAATGGAAGTAACCAACATTAAACTCATATACAGATTATAAATACACATCAAAAGAAAATGGCAAGCAATTTGGGACATGTTCCCAAACAATAAACTATATGAACATCATCCGACAATAAGAAAGGAGAATATAGAGCCATTAGCTGGTCAAAGACAAGACATATTGCTCAAAAGAATAAGAATTGGGCACACACACACACACACACACACATGCTGAAAGCAGAGACTATTTCGGTGTACCCACTGCAATCAATTTCTCACAATTAAACACATCTTGATAGAATATAAGAAGCACAAGAAAATATGTAGCAACTATTACCAAGCACAAAATCTTAATCTGCTCTTCAAAAATGTACCTACTGATATATGAAGGAAAGAAAATGCATCCAACTTCTCTAGAAAATAGACTTTGCATTTTGAACCATACAACTTATGTTTTGAAATATTCCTGAAATATACAACTTGTGATATTTTGAAAACAATTTTAAAACCCCAACCACTTGAAACGTTCCTGAATAAAAATCCAGTTTCTGCATTAAGTGACCCATGGGTTTTGAAGTGCTGGTAAAACAAATAAATAGTCAGTTAATCAGTTGTCATCTTCAGTCTTCTTGAATCCTGTTCTTTTTAGTGTCCTTTCTCATCTAGACTGGTTCCATGGCAGTGATCGCAGCACTAAAAAAACAAAAAAAAAATGTCAAACCCACTTATTGAACTACTCAACAGAATCAAAAGCTTAAATACAGATATTGTCTTCTGCTGGATACCAAGCCATATTGGTATCATAGGGAATGATAGAACAGATTCTGCATGAAAACGACATCAGATCCCTTAGATACCAAAATCCCCGAGACAGGCCTGAAAGCAACAATCAATAAATATATTGGGGAAGAGTGGCAGAAACTATGGAACTCCTGCCCAAATGATAAATTGTTCAAAATTAAAGCTATAAACTATAGGAGAATGTCTTCAGAAACACCAAAGTGATTATGCTCAAGCTTCATATTGGATATACTACCATAACCTGTTCGTATATCCTAAAAAAGGAAGATTCTGTGGTATGTGTGGCATGCCAAGATCCATTCACCATAAAGCACATACTTATAAACTGCAGTAATTTTAATTCAATCCGCTTAAAATACGATAAACAACAAACTTAAAAGATCTTTTTCAAAATACTGATTCATTTTACATATTTCAGTTCCTAAGAGAAATTAAACTGGTTTAAAAAATATAATTAAAAAAATATATATAACCATAGCAAACAGCAGTTTTACTTTTTAAAATAAAATCTTTTGATTGTTTAAATACAGGCCTTTATTTAAAAAAACATTAAATTTCAGCATTAAATGATCCAATGTGTAAAAACCAAACTTTTCTCCTCAGAAAAGTCTTCTCATGCTCTTTCACTCTCTTCAACCCCTTGCATCCTAGTGATATTATGACCTTGCTAGGGGTGAAATAATTAAAAAATATATATATATATATATATATATTCTTTTCTCTTTTACAGGGTCTTCACAGTGCAAGTGTTCCTGGCATCTTATCACTTGATATTTGTCTGCGGGACACTTCAAAGATTGTTACAGGTAAGTGAGTGAAACATATTTTCTTATCTGGTAGAGTGGGTTTTAAATTAGTTGCTATCAATAGAGAAAAAATTGGAAGTTTTCCATGAAAAATATTCTATGTAAATTTGGACATTTCACAAAAGATTAGCCAGATTGCTTGATGTTTCAGTATTTTTTCTTGCCCTTTTTTCTTTTATTTTATTGTAGTCATTAATTTTGTTTCCACCCACTTTTAATATAAGGATTGAACAGAATTGATGAGATCAGCCAGGATTTACATTGCAAAATAGTACAGAAATTGTATTGTGAGCTTAAAGCTGATACTTTTTGATGTGGTTCATGATAAAGTAGAAGACAAATTAGACATGAAACAATAAATTAGTTGGATGTCTGTAAAAATGGGAATTTGGGCCAAAAATGAAAAGTCTGGCATATAGCCATTAAAACATCCATTTGCAAAAGTTACAGCTAAAATAAAAACTCAAGTTTGTACATATTGTTAAATTTTACAAAGGCTTATGGCCATATCATGTTGAAACACTCATAATGAATAATGACTTGAAATTGTTCTAATCTAAAAATATTTGTTAGCTTTAAATAAACTGCAAAGGGTTGATAAGCCATAGAAAACAATTCAGTCAATCAAGATTAAAAATTTACAATCTAATTTCTTCTAAGAAAAAAATTTTCATAGCTTCTTTTATTGAAAATTTTATGCTTAGCTTTTTACAGGATTGCAAATACAGTGAAATAACCATTTGTTATTTTTTTCTTTTGTATAATAAAGAATTTGAAATTTTGTGATTGGATTGTGGGAGAAATTCATGATTTAGCTTGATAATACTTTAACACTTTTTGGTAAATATTAAAAGGTAATCTATTCCTGTCAATTTTAAAATGTCTTTAAAAAAAAATTATGTTCCTTTCCTAATAATATTTTTTACAAACTTTACTGCAAATGTCTTATGTTTTTTAACAGAAAATAAAGCCATGAAAATGCAATAAATTGTGTGGATTTCCCATCCTAAAATAGTTACTATATTTTGTGTCTGTAATGTGTATGCAAATGTAGAAACTATTATGGGACAGGGATAATGCTATTTATTTATACTAACCTTTTTTGTTTCTTGCAGGTGGTAATGACAAAAATGCTGTGGTCTTTAATAAAGATACTGAACAGGTTATGGCTATCCTGAAGGGTCATACCAAGAAGGTAACCAGTGTCATCTACCATCCAGAAGAGGTAAATATGTTTTTTTTCTTTTTTTTAAAAATCCCCTGACCTGTAGGGTTGTAGGGGCACCATGTGCACTGCAGCCACAGTAGAAATGGTGTTTCTTGGGCAAGATAGCCTGATTCACTGCAACCCTCTCCAGGCCAGTTTTGAATTCAGTTTTTCCTTCTCTTAGACTGGTTGCCACCCAAGGTTATAGAACCCAGTCTGTCCTGCTATTTACCCATAGATGGGTGGAGAAGAAGAGGATTCTTACTTTTCTCAAGTGTATTAGCATGTTAAGGATTCAACTGGAATTTGAGCTTGGCTCTCTGATTCCTCAATCCAAGCTGCTATCCATTACTCTACTGTGCCTCTGAAGTGTGTGTGTATATATATATATATATATATATATATATATAATATATACACACACACATTTTTGGCTTGAAACTGAGCTGCTGTGGCTGAGTTTAAATGCTACGCAAAAGAAAGGGAAAAAAATGATTTACTCAGAATTGTCTTCATTTTGCTCGTTATAGTCACAATGTTTTTGCCATTTTACTCTACAAACCTTTTCTATGGTTTTGAATTCAGAATAGTTCGTCTGGCTGTCAAGGTTTTTGAGAGCCCAGTTTACCTGGAGGGAGAAGAGATGGATTCATGCCTTTTTCAAGGGTATTAGTATGAAATTGGACATAACAGACCAGAATTTGAACTCTGATCCCCAATTCCACTTTCTGTGCTGTTAACCGTTACGCTACACATACCCCACATATTTTTGCTAATATTTATCTTTTTATTTATTTATTTATTTTTATAGGAACTTGTGTTTACAGCATCTCCTGACAGTAGCATCCGTGTCTGGGGCATTCAGACAGCTCAATGTGCTCAAGTGATCCGTGCTCATGAAGCCCCAGTCACTGGCCTCAGTCTTCATGCCACAGGGGATTACCTTCTCAGCAGTTCCACCGACACGGTTAGTAGTCTTTCTTATTATTTTTTTAGTATGTGTATTTCAGCTAAATCTAGGTCTTATATGATTTGTCCAAATGTATTAAAATAAATTCACTCTTTAAAATAAAAATGAAGCTGATATGTTTCTAACTATAATGTTTTAATTCCAACAAAATCGCCTGATTTCAAAACCTGAATGTGGTTTCTACAGTTTGCTCTTACAATTGTACAACATCAAAAATAAAATTTCATGCTTTTCAGCCAAATCAATCCAAGGGGAGATAAGCCATGTTATTACAACAAGGAAACCAGAACCCTATATATATAATATATATAGGGTTCTGTATATAAAAACTATAATAATAATAAAAACTATAATATAATAACTATATATAAAAAGGCTTAAACACTAGTATTCCATGGTCATAATTTATTACATTGGAATCGTAAATATGATCCAATTCGTCAAACCTGCAAATTCAAAAAATTTAAGGAGCTGATTCTCTATCCTGTACACACAGTCATCTGCGTATAACTTTGCATACGAGTGACTTACATGTGCTTGTGTCATTTAATGTACACACAATTTAATTAAGTTTGAAATAAAACATTAGAATAATGTTTTTCCCTCCCACTCAGTCTGGTCAACCCCTACCATGGGCTAAGCAATAAAGTCAAAGATGGAGATGAAAAAAATCAAAAACTTAATAGCTTCATATCTATCAAATTGTCTGTTTGCTTATATGTACATATGGCTGGAAAATAGAAAAATTGATGTTTTTTTATTATTCTCCTACCTACTGATAGAAAACTTTAGCATTTAATCTGGCATCAACCCACAGGAAGCCAAAATTTGCAGCCTATTGAAGCTATTTTTATGTCTCTTTCTGTATATATCTTCTTACAGATGTTGTGTTTTAAATGGACAAACAATTTAGGTTTAGAATTTAATCATTTTGCTGTCAGTGAAGTGGTGGTGACTGAACTAGTTTAATCTAAATGTGCACTTGTAATGACAACATGGATGACAGACTGCTAATGTGTATCTCTCATTACAGATTATGACAAAGGAAAAAAGAATCACGACAAAGTTGTTTATTTATAATTTTATGAATACAAACATCTCAGCATTTGTTATTTTAGTCCCAAATAATAACACTTCTTCATCTCAACTTCAACAGATATTGACCTCTTTTTTTTTTTTTTTTTTTTTATTTTTCATTTTCTTTTCAATCTGAACTCACTGTATATATTTTTTCTTTCCTTTGTTTATAGCACTGGGCCTTTTCAGATATTCGTACTGGCAAAGTTCTTACCAAAGTTACAGATTCTTCTGCTCCTCATGGTAAAATTTTTTTCTGTTTTTTTTTTTGTTGTCTTCTTGTTCTATAAAAGATTGAAACAAAAAAAACAAACCGCATTTAACCCACTGTAGCCAACAGTGAATAAAAACAATAATGGTATAGTACTAATCAAAAATGCCCAAGATCGGTATCCCCCACCCCACCACAAATCAATAATATACAGTCAATGTTTATGCATAAAATTGGGATTACACATGGAACAAATATTCAATTACTTTCTCAATAGGAATTACCCCCTTAAAACTATAAAAAAAAAATAATCACTAAGGCTTCCAAACAAAATAGAAATTCTCTTCTGTTTGAAACAAAAAAGAATAATTTCAGACTTCCCACCTCACCAAGGGAACATCACTTGTAATAAACCCTGATGCCACATCTGTAAACATATCATCACTGATAGCTTTTTCACAACCCCCACCACCCAGTCATACATACTCCACACAGCAAAACTACTATGTAGAAGCTACACACAGAAATTAACCCTTCAATAATTAACCCTTGATAATGGCTATAGAACCAGCCAAAAGTGCTTGGAACAATTATACCTATGGAAAATTCCTATATTCTTTAACTCCCGAAAAATGGGAAAATGTTTGTTGTTTTTTTTTTTGTTTTTTTTGGCTTTTTTTTTGGCTTTTTTTTTAACAATTGTCATCTATCTGGTTTGGGCATTTGATAAAGAATGTTTTTATTAGCAGAGTGGTTTAAAGCGCACCTAGCTTAAGGTTGTTTTTTTTTTTTGTTTTTTTTTCCTCTCTCTTTCTCTCTCTCTCTTTCTCTGTCTCTCTCTCTCTTCTTACCCTGTACAAGAGGCTCACAAATTTTGTCCCAACTGAAAAAACATTTTCCATGTTGAAACTTTTCATTGCTCAGGCCAGAGATGTCAAATAAACGGTTTTTTTCTGCTTCTTTTCTTCTTTAACTTTTTCTTTTTTTTTTCTTTCTTTTCTTTTTTTTTTTTCTTCTTTAACTTTTCTTTTTTTTTTTTTCTTCTTTTTTTTTTTTTTTTCTTCTTTAACTTTTCTTTTTTTTTTCTTCTTTAACTTTTCTTTTTTTTTTCTTCTTTAACTTTTCTTTTTTTTTTCTTCTTTAACTTTTCTTTTTTTTTTCTTCTTTAACTTTTCTTTATTTTCTACTTTTTTCCTTTTTTTACTTTTTTACTTTTTTTTTCTTTCTCTCTCTCTCTCTCTCTCTCTCTCTATATATATATATATATATATATATATATATATATATATACACTAAATATAATATTTAATGTAATGAAAAATGTTGATTAAAAATTCTTTAGAAACTATATGCATGTAAATATTTTTATTTGTTTTATTTATTTAATCTTTCCATTTCAGCGCTGACCTGTGCCCAGTTTCATCCTGATGGTCTCATTTTTGGAACGGGTACAGAGGATTGTATGATCAAAATTTGGGATTTGAAAGAACAAATCAATGTTGCCAACTTTCCTGGACACATGGGACCCATAACCAGCATTGCTTTCTCTGAAAATGGTAACATTGCTTTCATTCATTCTTTTTTATTTATGCAACTATTTCTTGAATGATAGCAATCAGTGGTCATAGACCCAGCAAATTCTGGAAATAGGAAGATTGGTGGGGAAAGGACAGAAGCAATAGTCACACTTGTATTTTATCATTAAGTGCATTTGAACCCCCTTTTTATATAGGGGGTGATGCAGGGTTTTCTATTCACTCTCTTTGTCACTCTATCATGCTTTCTTTTTTTTTTTTTTTTTTTTTTTTTTTTGGGACTTGGATGATCATGACACTATAACTTTTTATCCATCATGGCTCTTAGCAATGTTTATTTATCTCCTTACTATCCCTCTCACTTCTTGTTAATCACTGTTTTATTCTTCCCATCATGCAACTCTGTTTTAATTATTTTCTGTCTTAATAAACAAAATATTTCTGTCAGTAAAATAAAAATTTACTGAATTTTACAATGTCTTACCTAAAGCTTGTTTTACCAATTTTTGGCACTAAATCTATACATAATAAGGCAGAAAGTGTTTGTGGGTGGTCTGGAATTAATTTTAGCATTGTTTACAGAATAAGGCTAATAGATTTATTATGTAAATGCATTTCTAATGAGTTGATTCTAAATATGCACTGAAAATCAGCAGGAAAGGGACTATCAAGGTATTAGCATGTAAGTGAATGTAACAAACTCAACTGCATATAATTAGATAGAAATGTTAAAAATGTTGCCTTCAATATGTTCTGTGAATATCAAATTTTCCAAGCCCTCTTTTCTCATTGTACACCTCAGAAATTTCAACTGTCTCTTTCTGACATTAAGTACAAGTGTCTTTTTTGTTTTTGTTCTCTCCATGGTATTCTCAGCATCCTTCTGTAGAACCACATTTTTGTTGCTTCAAGTCTCTTCTACATCTGCGAGGAGATTGTCCAGCATTCACTGCCAGGACTGGTATTACATAACAATTCAGTACTCTTTTCTTTTTGGTCACAAACAAAATTTTCCTGTTTCTTAATATTTTAGTTCAAATACACTCTGTTCCTTGTAGATGTCAGTGCACCAATATTTTCGTTATTCTTTTTTTTTTGTCAGGTTACTATTTGGCTACTGCTGCTGAAGATGCTGTTGTGAAATTGTGGGATTTGCGTAAATTGAAGAATTTCAAAACTATCCAACTGGATGATAAATACGAAGTACGCAGTCTTTGTTTTGACCAGAGTGGTACTTATCTCGCTGTGGCTGGAACAGATGTCAGGTGAGTAGCTTTTGATAGAAAACTCAGGTGCTATCATCTTAAATCACACTTACAGCATAAGTTGTTAATTCAGATGTGTTGTCAACAGTATCTCATAAATCATTTCTGACAATTTCCTTACTGAGAACTAAATATCATCACCTTGTCTATCATAATTGTATTTGTCACTGTGTGGCTAGCATCATTTGTAGTGATAATAATGACAACAAGTCAAGTTATTTTGATGTGTTTGGGGAAATGAACATGAATATTGACAAAGGAAAGACAGGACAAAATGATAAAATGGAAATTAAATCTTTATTTAGATATATATATGTGTGTGTGTGTATGTGTGTGTTAGGAGGGTGTAGAATCGTATCTGAACAAAGGGGAAGAAATGACTTAAAGATATCAACCTAGCACACGAGTGGAAAAGTATTGTTATTTAAAAAGAAAAAAAAAATCTCTTGTCTCTACATATATTTATATTATACAATCCCAAATTGTTTTGACTTTAAGCAACCCATAAATGGATGATACACTGTAAAAGAAAAACAAACAAATAAATCAATCAGACTGCTACTAGTTTTGAAGAGATCATATCCACTCATCAGGACTCATGTAGTAAAATTGAAATTTAATTAAACGCATTATCTTACAGAAATATACTGATACATTTTATCTTTTTTTTTTTTTTTATCTTATTTGTTACTGCTTTGTGTGATGGTGTGTTAATAAATTTGCAACTGGACACATTATTTGTAGAATTTTTGCTTGAAATTTTCTTTATATAATAATATTTGTCCTATAAAATGAACATATATATATTTTCTCTCTTACATCCTTAGTCCATTGGCTTAAACAATAAACCTACAAATCTTGTAATGAAACTAGCAGTATTAATAAGAATTAGTAGGGCTGATATATATTGTCATCCACAGACACTGTTTCACTGTATCACAGCTCATCAGTGTGGCTAGATGTCCGGTTGCCTCTAGCTAGGATCGAAACCTGACTGAATTAGCATCAGTCAGGGATTCTACCACTAAGCCATTGGCGCACGGCAGGGATGAAGGTGAATTTAAGCGTATTTATTTTTAGATAAACACACAGTGACTGAGAGAACTCAATTCGATTTACTGAAGAGTCTTGCATTATTAGCCGTAATAGTCACTGTATACAAACCCACACTTCCTCCCCAAAGAGCTCAACTGAAATAAAATTTTCAGGAGCATACATATTGAACAGGAACCGAACTTCTATTCCAAAATGAACATATATATATATATATATATATGTATATAGTTTTGGAATAGAGGTTTGGTTCCTGTTCTAGTCTTGTTAAACCAAAATCTAGGGAACTCTCCAAACTGATGATCAGAAGTTGATATACCATATTTTCTTGGAAATAATAAGACATTTTGAACAAGAATTACTGCCCAAAGCCAAATGGTGTAGGTGTGCTTGGAAAATCAGCTTTTGAAATCCAGGCTTTTACCTTGGCTCAAATGCTAATCTCCAGCACAGATAGACAATACTGTTCCCACCATTCATCATCATTTAAGAGGGTAGAATATATTGTAACCTAGGAAAGGTTTACTGAATGAGGAATAACCAAAATGGAGGTTGGAAATGAAAGGGTAATCTTTATAACATCAATAAAATACAATACTCACCAGTGGTGTGAAGTAGGTAAACCACTGCTAGTGGTGGACTACTTAGACACCAGCTTACCCCCACTTACAATAGTGTCCAACATATTAAGGTATGGTATATAACAACAGTTATTACTGTATATAATTTAGAGGTCATTTGAGAGCCACTTCAAAGAGGTGGTGTTGGAAAGTTGATGGACTGGGATCTTTTGGTATTCAATAACTGTACATGTGACAATTGATAGATTGTTTGGCAATGAGTTCACATTTTTTTTTCTTCACATTTTCTGTTGGCTTCCTGGTTGCTCATCCTGACTGCTTGTCAGCCTTGAAAACTTGCTTGTTACTCAAAAACCAGTGTTCAACCTGAAGACCATTTTGCCAAAAGCCTGATTTTCGTGTCTCTCACTGCCAGACTTGCCAGGTGTTACATAAAATGCAATGCAGGCACATTACTTGAATTTATCATTTATTGAAAAGATTGCAGAGCCATTTCAACATAATGTTAGAAAACTTAGTGTAATAATTGAACGCGAGTGGATAGTATGAAGCGTTTTGGCAGACTCCGTAAACTGGGTACTGATCAACATTAACTGAGTGTGCATTTCTATTGAATAATACAATCAGAGTATGTACACATGCTCTGATTGTATTATGGAAACTTTCTGATACCATGTCGTACACACACATAAAATTATAAATTTCAGTTAATGAATTTATAACTAGCAATATAACCCATCTTCATCAGGGTGTTTCATTACTAGGAATTTTTGCCATTGAATTGGAGCAGTTTAAGTTTAAAGTCGGCTCACTCGAAAATCAGTATTAGTAACAACAATTGGGTACAACAGAGGCACGTCCCCAAATGGTGGTGGTGGTGGTGGGGGTGTTTAACAATTTGAAGGCGGGGGCTGAAAGGGGCCATTTTGTGTTCTCAATTTTCCAAGGAAGGAACCTCTTCCATGAACCATAATAATATACAATAATTTTTATTTATAATATAATTTTTTTATAATTCTAATAATCTTTTGCGTTAGATTCCAACTCTCTAAATTGATTGTACACTGTTTTTTACAGACATTAATTCTTGGCTTTGATTTTTGCGTAAAAAAAAAATCAGTTTTTTTTAATTTTTTTCACCTGAAAGGTTGTATTTTTTTCCAGCCAATTTGAACTCAAAACTGACACTGAAGAATTATCTATCAAACAAAAAAAGTGTCATCGAAACCTGATGAAAACTGTGGAAATGCATAAACAACATCCAATCACACACACACACACACACACACATTTTGAGAATTATAGATATATAGATTATCATTTTGTTTTCTCTCTCTTTTTCCAAACAGAATCTACCTGTGTAAACAGTGGCAGGATTTAGCAGTGTTCAATGATCACACAGCTGCAGCTACCGGAGTTCGTTTTGGCCACAATGCAACGTTTGTCGCTTCAGCCAGCATGGATCGTTCAGTCAAGTTCTTTGGAATGAGTTAAAATGCATTGACTGCATGTGGTGCATAGTTATGCATCCATGCATGAGTATGTGTGTATGTCTGTGTGCATGCCTGTGTATGTGTGTGTTGTAGGGCTTTATGGCAAATATACAAGGAGCAGGAAACAAATTGAGTTGTTAACCTAGATGCAAAATTTTATGCCATTTCTACAGCAACCGAAGCATTTTATTTTATTAGAAATTGAATAGAACAATCTCTCATCTTTGGTGCATCTAAATTTGGATTTTTTCTTTTTTCTTTTTCTTTGTTATATTTTAAATTTCTTTTTATTTCATTTATTTATAAATCTTTTTAAAAATTAATTTTTGTACTTTTCAATATTTGTAAGATTTTAATCATTGGTCCTAGTTCTTGCTATAATATTCAGAGGTGCTGCTTTACCATTAATTGATGCTGATTTTTGAGATATTGATTGTAGAATTACCAAAATGAATACCAAATTTTTTTGCTTTGTTTTGGTCTTTAAAAGAAAAAAAAAGAACTTGTCGAAGATTAATGTTTTTCTAAATAGCTTAATTTAAAAAAAACATAAAAAGGAAAATAAATGGTAAATTTTATGGCATTTTTAAAAAGAAATTGAAAATTTTTCCTGTACCCTATCTTGTATCATCATCATAATTTAAGGCTTAAGTCAACCAAAAAGACATTGTATAATAGTAAGCATATCTTGACTAATGAATCTTGATTAAAGACTTCTAAAAAAAAAAAAAAAAAAAAATTTTTTTAAAATCTATTTTAACTAGATTTTGTAATATTTTCTCATGTATAATATTTTTACAGGGTTTGCAACAAGCTAATGATAAATGTTAATTTCATGTTTTTCTCTTAATTTTTTTTCAAGTATAATATTAAAATCTCTATTTTTTCTTTCATTATTATATAATGAAAAGACTTTCATCTTTTTTTTTATAAAGTCTCTAAAAGGTTTAACAAAAAAGGGAAAAGCATGACTTTATTCAATTTTTTTTTTTTAGTTAAAAATATTTTACATTTTGTGAATATTTTAGGTTTTTATTAATTTTCACTTTAATTTTTTTTCCTTTCCTCACCTGTATAATTTCTATTCATTGCCTTCATTTAAATCTATCCATAAATAAAATTAATGTCATCAAAATACTTGAAATAAAAAGAAAATATTTTGTGTTACACTAGATGATTTAATTATTGTTTATATTTGAACAATTTAAGAGTAAGGAAAAACTAATGATTTGTTCATAAAAAAGGCTTTTTGTGTTATAAACAACAGAATATAATCTCTTAAGTCTAATTAAGAAGAAAATATTTTCATCTGTAAAGTTTTAGTAACATAACATCAAAATTAACTGTTTCATAAAATATCAATTAGAATTTAGATGTTTTCTTGTTTCATTTTGAACTTTGTCAGTTTTTATTTCCTTTTTGTCTTTTTTTTTTTTTACTTATATTCCAGTTGGCAAACATTAATTATTCATCAGTTTTAGAGTGCCAAATTAAGTCTTGAGTTTTCCGTATTTCTTGAATGAAGCATTTATATTATTAATAATGTCAGGCCAGTTTACCTTTTAATCTTTATTGCAACTCTTTCATTCTGCAGTTACCTGATAAGCAGAATCAGAAAGATGGTAAAGAAAAACAAAAGTAAAATAAACTTGCCTCAAATGAAAATGCTTCATCTGTAAAATTTGGACTTTTTCAAAAATTTATAATGATACTGCTTCATCTAAGAAACATGGAGGACTTAAAATTATTATAGTCATTAATGTTAGATGTAATTAAGCAATATGACATAGAGAAAATTGGATAATTCAAACTGTAGCTATATGACTAAATCTGAATTTAGCCTGCTGATTGGTCCTGTAGCCAAATTGGTAAGTTGTTTATCCGTGTTGGATGGGCTGCCAAGAATACAAGTTCAAAACTCATTGGAAACTGCTGCCTTTTCTGGTCCGTGCCATTTTCTTGATGTTAAACAATCTGAGCATTGTAAGAAAGACCAACCAAAATAATTTGCAAGTAAAACAAATCAGAATTTTGTCAGTCATTAAATTTTGTTTTTATTCTTGTACTAACTAAGAGGAAGGAACTTTTGGAAGATTTAAATTCTTTAACAGGACCAAAATTAAAAAAAAACAAGAAAAGTGATTTAGCCATTTTCAAAGACAGACTGCAGAATCATGACAAAAGACCACATGCCATGAGGATAGAATTCAAATTCTAACCCTCAAATAAAAAAAATACGTCTTTTAGAGTGTTTTATAATCCTATCAACACTTTACTCCTGCCTGAAATTTTTTTTTAGTTTAGGCCCCATATTTATTCAGACTAATCTCCTTGTCTCATGATGTTTTTTTTTATCACAATGTTTTGACCACTTACTCTCCAGTCCTCTGGACATTTATTGAACTTTAGAGTAATGTTGAATCTTGCTCCGATAGGGCATTGTACTTCATCTCTTATAAATCTGGTGCATCTGAGCACTTTGAACTTTCCTGTGATATTTCTGGGTGAGGCAGTGGGAATACGATTGTTGGTGAAATTCCCCAAGTTTACTAGAAAGTCACAGGTTCAATTCATAGGTGATGGTGGCAGTTTCAGGAGCTTGCACCACATGCGTATGAGAACAGAAGGACATGTTTTATCAGAACAAGGTTCAACCTTCTATTGGAAATGTGACTCTTAAAAAAAAAAAAAAATGTTGATAAAAACTAAACAAAAATTATTCTGAATGAGCTAAAATACAAAAAAGATCAATTGTATTTTCTCTTTAGACCTTTGTTAGCCAAAGAGATTTACTAACTGACTGTCATTTGATATCAAAAGCCAGACTTTGCAAAACAAATGTTGATTTAGTTTTTCTAAAAAATTATATTTGAGAAATGAACATAATTGATTTTTCACATAAAAACAGTTGTTTTATCTTTGAAATGCTTTCAACAGAATAGGAAAGAAAATTGTGAAAAATTAAAAGCATCTTCATCTTTTTTGCTAGATTATAACAATTTTTTTCTTTAAAGTTAACCTGAATAGTTCTAGAAACCAAATCCTGAACCACTAAATAGTGACATCTTATCTTAATCCATGTACTGATAAGAAATCTGTTTGAGATGTACTTGAAGGCATTTTCTTTGAAGGTTTATTATTTGCTAAGTTTAATCAGCTATAAAATAACTAATGGAGACATTAAGCAAAGATTGAACTCATTAACAATAGTTTGTCAGGCCAAATTGCTAACCATTGAACCAAGACAAACAGTACAAATAAAATAAGATTATTAGAGAATTAATATTCGAACCTTTTCAATTTGACTTTTGTACAAATCTGTCTCTGTTATTTTTTCTCTTAAATTAGTTTATGAAGCCTTTAATAATTCAATTTTTTTTTTTTTTTTTTTATAAGGGGCGGGATAGAAATGTCCCAAGAGTATCCTTATCTAACAGATGATTAGGCTTATTCATAGGAATTAACTTGTCACATTAAACAGGTAGGAATTAGTTAAAATGACCAGAATATGTATATTTGCTGATTAAGACTAAAACTTCATTGTATTAATATCATGTCCACACACACACAGGAGTACTATTCAAAAACTTATCCCACAAACCATTCTACTAGGTGCTTCAATCTAGTCTGATGTTAAATTTGACATATATGTGTGTGTGTGTGTGAAAAGCAATATATAGATTTTTATATATCAAAAACAATTTTAAGAAAAGTGGAAAATGCTTTTTGTGATGCATTTCATTAACATCACTTTAGTCCAATGAAGTTCTAAACGAAATGCATCATGCGCAAAAAAATTTTCCACTTTGTCATAGATTTTCGTAATATGAAAGAGAAACATAATCAGGTTGTGACAAATTAGTTTTTTTCATTAAAAAAAATTAATAATCTTTTTTTTTCTTTTTTTTTATTGTTTTAAATGGGTCTCTTTGCATCTTGATTAATTGGCAACATTCTCTTTAGATTAACACTAAAATCAATCTGAATAGGCTGAGGCGATTCCTTTTCTGCTCCTTGTATAACTTCACCTTCTTCACACATGTAAGAATTCACGTTTCTTTTTCTCTCGAACACAAGTTTAATCTTCTGAACTTTTTTTTTCTCTCATGAATCATTCATTATCTGAAATAAAACTGTTATCTATGAATTGTGTCTGTTTTGCTTACATTGAATATTGTTACAGATTTGAATGGCTCAGCTCTTTAAAGACAATTCAGTGTTTAAAGCAAATCATACCTCTTTTTGCTTACTGATCAGTCTTGTACTTTATTCAATATTGATTTGTCTTGAGATAGAATATTCACTTCTGTTAAAAATCTGTATATTGGAACATTACAAAAAATAAATTTTCATCTCACTTTTTGTGAATGGACTTTTCCAGACCTTTTGGCATTTTTTTTTTTTTTGTAATTGATCTGAACATTTGCCACTGTGAGTCTCCAAACTTACTCTTAAAATTGGACATTGTTCTTTTCATCCTTAAAACTGGCATCATTTTCCTGCTGGTAATTCAATGTTTTGGCCAGTAGTAGGCAGTGATTGATGATAGTGATTATAGTAAGAAATGTTTTCAAAATAACATTTTTTATAATTGCTCAAAGTGTCAATCTATAATTGCTGACTCTGCTTTTACTTTTATTCATTATGTGGCTCTGAAGCCCTTTAAAAAAGCAGATCTAACTACCAGTAAGGTGGAACTCACTTCTGGCTTTTTGCTTTCCTGTCAACTTTGATCTTCAATAATTTAAATGCAATGTCAATCATCATCATCTATCTCTTTGAATCCTGTTCTTTGCTTCTTTTACTCTCAGTAACCCTTTGAATCCTAATTGCTTTTATTGCCTTGATTGGAGTGAAATGATTTAGGTGAACTTATTCTCTAGTTTGCACTCCTTCATGTTTCCAATTTAGGATTGGGCTTCCAGTTCCTTCCAGAAATTTAGAAATACCAAAGTTGAGCTAGTAAATTACTTTTGAAAGGGACATGTGACCTTCAAGTCA